TCAACATTAGAAGTAACTAATTAACTTTTAGATTGGACGCTTTATTTTTCTGCACTTTAAACATTCTTCAAAAATATTTTTTTGCACAAAAAAAAAATTATGCATATTTTTTTTTGCATATTTAATTTCTGCATTCTTTGTTTTAATTTTTTTATTTTTATTTTTATTTTTTTTTATTATTATTTTTTTTTGCATTTTCTATTTTTTTCTGCACATCTTTTCAATCTTAGTTTATGCGAGGTACTCTTAACCCGAGAATTTTGCAGTTGATCTTGAGATAGAAAAGACAGAAAGGAACCTAAGGAGGAACCGATGGCAGGAAACAATCAACTCGCTCCAAGGACGTTGGGAGATTACATGACCCCAGCTCGAGTTCCACAGACGGCAAGCATTGTTAGACCTAACATAGAGGCTAACAACTTTGAACTGAAGCCGGCACTGCTGCAACTGATTCAAAAAGAACAGCTTGCTGGAGGAAGCACATAAAACCCCTATAGTCATCTCGATAACTTCTTACTTTATTGTGATACATGTTGTAAATAATAATTATATAGTTATTAGTTAGTTATTATTTAGTCATTTATTTGTTGTATTGGGCCAAGCCCATTAGGTTAAAATTAGGTCAAGTATTCTCTATAAATAGAGAACCCTTTGTACAGATTATTTACAATTCTATATTATATTCGAATACCCTTTTTCAAGTTGGTATCAGAGCTCTTGATCTGAGGGCTTTGCTTCCGCACATATTATCTTCTTTTTTAACAAAACCCTAATTTCTTTGCCTCTTGCCGCCACCGAAAATTTTTTCCGGGGACCTTTTGGACCAAGGGAACCATTGTTGACCTTATTTTTTCCTCCGATCTATCATTCTACGCATTGTTCCTCCGCCACAAACGACCGAAACACCTCCGACCGCCTCCAATCAGATCTGTCTTCACCGTTTGGACCACTTTCTGGCGACTTTTCAACCGAGACCACCCACAGAAAGGTGCACGCTCACCGGACGACCACACCAGAAAAATCTCAGCCGGCGAAGACCCTCCACGCGCTCTCACGCGCCGCCCCTTTCCCGGAGAGTGAATCCCACGCGCAGCTCCTTTCTCCGGCGCGTGGAGGCGCGTGCGGCCGTGTTTTTTGACCGGACCACCACCATTCTTCTCGTCTTCTTATCTTCTGTCTGGATCTGTAATTTTTTTTCTGATCAGAGGTCATTTGATATTCTGTTTGGTTGATTTTATCGCTGGTTGTTAACTTTTTTTGTTAAAGAATGGCCGAGCATGATAGTTCTTCGATCTTATCTGGTAAGAGCACACGTTCTATATCTCTTCTTGCTTCTTGCACTGATTTTAAAACCTCATGGATTTTGGATTCTGGTGCAACTGATCATATGGCTTGTCGTACTGAGTTGTTTTGTTCTTATCATCCTACTGTTGGTAGTCATACTATATCCGTAGCTGATGGATCCCATAAATCAGTTATTGGTTCTGGTAACATTCAAATTCAACCTTCCTTGTTTCTTAAAAATGTTCTTTATGTTCCTCAGCTTTCTACTAATCTTATCTCCACTCAAAAACTTACAACTGATTTGAATTGTTCTATCACATTTTTTCCTTCTCATTGTCTTATTCAGGATCTTACCACGAAGAAGACAATTGGAGTTGCTAATGAACAGGATGGGTTGTATCATCTCCTTCCAGACCATGCTAGCAAAAATCAGTTATTAATGACACGTCATCCTTCTACTGCAGAGTCTATGATTTGGCTCCATCACAAGCGTCTGGGGCATCCACCATTTAGTCTTTTGAAGTCTATGTTCCCCTCTCTATTTCTCAATAAGTCGGTTGAGACCTTTCATTGTGATGTTTGTGAATTTGCAAAACACCATCGAGTGTCATTTCCTTCTAGCACTATTAAAAGCAGGGAACCTTTTTCTTTTATCCATTCTGATGTTTGGGGCCCTTCTAAAGTGCACAGTGTTTCAGGTGCAAGGTGGTTTGTTTCTTTTATTGACGATTGTACTCGGATAACATGGATATACTTGATGAAAGACAAGTCTGAAGTACCAGAGATATTTATTCGGTTTCATCACATGGTTGAGACTCAGTTTGGTAAGGGTATTAAAAGACTCAGATCTGATAATGGTACTGAGTACGTCAATCAACGCCTGTCACAATTCATTTCAGACAGAGGTATGATTCATGAGCTCACATGTGTTGATACCCCTCAACAAAACGGGGTTGCTGAAAGGAAAAATCGTCACCTTCTTGAAGTTGCTAGAGCACTACTTTTCCTAACATATGTTCCTAGTTGTTATTGGGGAGAAGCAGTATTAGCTGCAACTTTTTTGATCAACCGTTTACCTTCACGGGTCCTTAACAATATCAGTCCTATTCATTCTATGACTTCCTTCTTTCCTTCTGTTCTCATATTGCAGAGCCTTCCACCAAGAGTGTTTGGATGTGTTGCCTTTGTCCATGTTCATAAACAACATCGGAGTAAGTTGGATCTTAGGGCTCTTAAGTGTGTCTTCCTTGGTTATAACCCTTATAAAAAAGGGTACAAGTGTTATCATCCACCAAGTCGGAAATGTTTTGTTTCTATGGATGTCACCTTTCAAGAATCTGAATCTTATTTCCTGGGTCCTCATCGTCAGGGGGAGAATAGTTCTTCAGAAGACTCGTCCCCTTCCTTCTTTGAGTCTGGATCAATCTTCTCTCTTCCTAGTGTGTCTGCTCCTGGTGTGTCAAAACCTTCAAATACACCTGAGATACAACCCATATTGTCTCACCAGCAACCTCAATCGTCTGAACCACTGGTAAGTCCTGAATCTCCTATTTCTTCTGAGTCTCCTGAATCTCCTGTTTCTGATTCTAATATTATTTCCTCTCATGATTTGTCTATTTCTTCTGATATCTCTAATGACTTACCCATTGCTTCTACTTCTGATGACTTACCTATTGCTCTTAGAAAAGAAAAAAGATCTTGTCACAAGAAAACTTGTTCCTCTTGTCCCTCTTGTACTCAATACCCTATCTCCCACTTTGTTTCCTCTGTTAATCTTTCTATGCAGTACAAAAGCTTTGTTTCAGCACTAGATTCTATTGCAATCCCAAAATCAGTACATGAAGCCTTGAAAGATAGGAATTGGGCTCAAGGCATGCAAGAGGAGATGAATGCTTTGGAGAAAAATAAAACATGGGAGGTTATTGATAGACCCAACGGAAAGAAAGCAGTAGGGTGCAGATGGGTTTATGCCCTGAAATATAATTCTGATGGCACTCTTGAGAGATATAAGGCTCGATTAGTGGCCAAAGGTTGCACTCAAACCTATGGCATTGATTATGAAGAAACCTTTGCTCCAGTTGCAAAGATGAATACAGTGAGAATCTTGTTATCCCTTGCTGCCCATTACAATTGGGATATAAATCAATTTGATGTGAAAAATGCTTTCCTCAATGGTGAGTTAGAAGAAGAAGTCTACATGGAAATCCCGCCTGGTTTTGATTCTGTGAAGGGGGAAAATAAAGTGTGTAGATTAAAAAAGGCCTTGTATGGATTGAAGCAGTCACCTCGTGCTTGGTTTGGAAGCTTTACTAAGGTTATGATGACCTTAGGATACAGACAGAGCCAAGGAGATCACACTCTTTTCTTCAAGCACTCCCAAAATGGGAAGCTTACTGTGCTCCTTGTATATGTTGATGATATTATTATCACAGGTGATGATTTTATGGAGAGACAGATTCTGCAAACACGGCTTACCTCTGAGTTTGAAATCAAAGACCTTGGGAAACTGAGATATTTCCTAGGGATAGAAGTAGCTCATTCAAGCAAAGGAATTTTTATCAGCCAGAGGAAATATGTTCTTGATCTTCTCAAATAAGCAGGAAAGCTCGGGTGTAAACCCTCTAATACTCCTATTGAGCAGAATCACAAGATGGGCTATGAAGAAGAGAGTCCTCCAGTTGATAAAGGACAATATCAACGGCTAGTTGGGAAATTGATATATCTGGCCCATACTAGACCAGACCTAGCTTATGTTGTTAGTGTTGTCAGTCAGTTTATGCACGATCCAAAAGAAAAACACATGCAGGCAGTAGAGAGAATTCTTCAGTATCTTAAAGGTACTCCTGGTAAAGGATTGTTATTCCGACGTGATGGCAATCTATCTTTAGAAGTCTACGCAGATGCTGATTATGCTGGATCCGTGACTGACCGTCGTTCTACCACTGGTTATTGCATGTTTCTTTGCGGTAACTTGGTGACATGGAGAAGTAAGAAACAAGATGTGGTTGCCAGATCAAGTGCAGAAGCTGAATTTCGAGCTATGGCTCAAGGCATTTGTGAGTTACTGTGGCTGAAAGTTGTACTTGATGATCTCAAAATAAAATGTGAGGGACCTATGAAGCTGCTATGTGATAATAAGTCCGCTATTTGTATAGCTCATAATTCAGTTCAACATGATCGGACTAAACATATTGAGGTTGACCGTCATTTCATCAAAGAGAAACTTGATAGCGGGTTGATTGTCACTCCATACATTCCCACTGGGCGTCAATTAGCTGATCTATTAACAAAGGGGCTTCCTTCATACAGATTTCAAGAACTTACTAGCAAGCTGGGAATGATAAATATCTATTCCTCAGCTTGAGGGGGAGTGTTGTAAATAATAATTATTTAGTTATTAGTTAGTTATTATTTAGTCATTTATTTGTTGTATTGGGCCAAGCCCATTAGGTTAAAATTAGGTCAAGTATTCTCTATAAATAGAGAACCCTTTGTACAGATTATTTACAATTCTATAATATATTCGAATACCCTTTTTCAAGTATACATTAAAAGTAAATGGAGTTTCTCGTGATGCTATCTTGCTCAGGCTATTTCCATGCTCACTGAAGGATGAAGAAGCAAGAGTTTGGCTGCAGTCTCTACCTGAAGGAAGCATAACCAATGGGGATGACTTAGCAAGATAATTCTTGGCTAGATTTTTCTCAGCTTCAAAGATGGCAAGGCTCAAGTCGGAGATCACTGCTTTTGAACAAAAAGACAGCGAATCTTTGTACGAGGCTTGGGAACGATTTAAAGGATTACTCAGGAAGTGTCCTCAACATGGAATTGAAACATGGGAGAAAGCAAGAATCTTTTTCCAAGGGATGACATCCAGCACAAGAACACTGGTGAATGCTGCTGCAGGAGGCTCCCTGAAAACAAAAACTCCTGAGGAAGCACTTGAACTGTTGGAATCATTAACATCTCAAGAATTTGACAATGCTCCAGCCCCAGTTGCACCAAGAAGATCAGGAATCATGAAGCTTGAAGGCTATGATACACTCTTAGCCCAGAATGAACAAATGCTACAAATGCACAAGAAACACCAAGAACAATTAGATGCTCTTAATAAGAAATCTAATATTTCTCAAGTTTCTTCTGTTTCTAATGCTAACATTAAATGTGATATTTGTCAGGAGGCTCATGCAACTGAGGATTGTGAATACATAAGAGCAGCGGAAAAGCCACTAGCAGAGGTCAATGGACTCTGGTATGATCAGAAGAATCAGAATCAACATCCAGGGTTGAGTTACAAGTCAAACTACCAGCTGATTCCTCCTGTGCCATTGCAACAACAACAACAACCTCCACAATTAGAGTGGGAAAAAGTATTTGCACAGCTGTCCAAGACCACCTCGGACTACATTCAGAATTCAAATTCCTTCAGAGAGGAGACAAGAGCCTCATTCCGGAATCAAGAAGCTTTGATCCGGAACTTGGAGACTCAAATTGGTCAGCTGTCAAGACAGTTCACTGAAAGGACTCAGGGTGTTTTGCCAAGCAACACAATTGTCAATCCAAGGGAGCATTGCAATGCTATCACCACTAGGAGTGGGACAATAATTAAACCTATAGAGGAACAACCCGAAAAAAAAGAAGAAGGATAGAGAAGCATCAAATGAAGAAGAGAAGGAAGAAAAGGCAAAGGATACAATTGAAGTTGACGAAATCAATCCTGAAAAAGCTGAAAAGAAACTATTCAAGTGGGAGAGGAAGAAAGCTTTAGAAAGACATAAAAAGCCATTAGATCTCTCTCCATATGCTCGAATCCCTTATCCTCAGAGATTAAATAAAGAGATTCAGAAGCAGCAATATTCAAAGTTTCTAGACATATTCAGGAAATTGCGGATCAACATTCCTTTTGCCGAAGCTTTAGAGAACATGCCCAACTACGCAAGGTTCATGAAAGATCTATCATCAAGGAAACGTAAGTTGTGGGAATGTGAGACAGTAAATCTGACGGAGGAATGTAATGCTATCAGCGAAAAGAAGTTACCTACCAAAGTCAAGGATCCAGGGAGCTTCAGCATTCCATGCACTATTGGCAAGATGAAAGTAGACAATGTTTTATATGATCTTGGAGCTAGCATCAATGTTATGCCACTCTCCATGATGAAGAAGCTGGGGATAACTGAAGTGAAGCCCACAAAGACGATAGTGCAACTGGCTGACCGCTCTTCAAAGCAAGCTTATGGTATCATTGAAGACATATTGGTTAAGGTAGACAAATTCATCGTTCCTGTCGATTTTGTCATCCTTGACATTGAAGAAGATGCCACAATTCCTATGATTTTTGGAAGACCCTTCTTGGCAACTTCAGGAGCACTGATTGATGTGCTAAAAGGCGAGCTGATATTACGGGTAGACGGAGAGCAAGTAACTTTCAAGTTCTTTGACAAAGAAGTCCCCTCATCTGCAGATCAACTAGAAGATCAAGTTTACTACATTGGTGAAAAGAAAGGTGAAGAAGAACACAATGAAGAGTCTTCTCGAGAAAGTAAGCCAAAAGTTAAGATGGAGAAACCTAGTAGCGAAGGAAAGCATGTAAAAGTCAAGTTCAAAGTTCCTGAGACTACTTTACCTCATCCATATGTAGACGAGCACTATGGGAAAAAACAATTTATGAACGATGGACCTTGGTCATCACCAAGCTTATGCTTTGAGCCACCATGAAAGTAAATCAGGTACGTCAGGCTCGTGACGTAAAACAAGCGCTAGGGGGAGGCAACCCACCATTTTACTATTTTTAGTTTTGATTAAATTTTCCTTTTTTGTTTAATTAAGAAAAATACAAAAATATAGGAGAAGGTGTTGAGACTAATTCCTACAATTGAGTGAATTTTACAGGTGAAGAAAAGGAAACAAACAACAAGTGAGCAATTAGTTGTTCTTATTTCTCGACGCGAATTCTTTTTAAATTTAAATCTGTTGCTGAGGACAGCAACATTTAAATTTGGGAATGAGGAATGCGCGTTCCATCTAAGCACAATTGAGTAAGCCGGAGGAACTTCATGAGCATACATAGAATATCCGGCTAAAATAGGGAACTATCTCAAATCCCTTCTCCTTTGCTTTAGCTTATTTTTTTATTTTTATTTTTTTTTTGCATTTTAAATTTTGTTTTTCATGCTTAATTAGATAATTTTAATTGTTTTTGTTGAGAAACCCCAAGCCAAAAAATTTTGTGAAAATTTTACAAATTTTTCAAAGTTGCTCAGTGTTTTAATTGGAAAAATGGCGGGAATTTTAAATAAGTAATTGATTAAGAGCATGATGATGCACTTACCCATATTCACTGTTATGAACATCATTGCAATAAGTGACATGATTCATTGAAAATATTGTTTGATGTTGAAGTTGTTTGAGAAAAAGAACAAGGAAATTACTGTGCATTCATAGCCGTGAGGTTTTGAGCCTATACAGAAAAGTTTTATTGAGTGTGCATTCCATTGTTGAGATACTCTAGAACTTGTTTTGTTTCTTGATTAAAATGGTTTGTGATTTATTTTGTAGAGATGATAGAAGCATGTTCTTTCTCTAACTAGATGGCCAAATAGCTAACCTTTATGATATTCCTTAGTTAAGCCCCTTGAGCCTAAACTTTTTATTCATGAAGAACCCTTGAATGTGAATAGCCACTTCCCCAATTGAATCCCCACCGTAATAGCAGATTAAATTCAGATTTCAAGTAAGGAGTGGATATGAGTTTCAACTATGCAGGCGTTCAATGGAATAAAGAAGTACAAGCAAAGGGGCAAAGCCCAAAGAAGAACGAAAGTTGGTTAGACTCAAGAAGAGCGAGCAAAATGCTCCAAACAAAGAAAGGAAAAGAAGCGAAAAGCAAGAAAATACGCTTAGAAAGAAAACGAAAAAAAGAGAAGGTTCAATGAAGAAAATAAAGAACTGGAAAGAAGAAGAAAAGCTTTACAGTCGGAAGAAACGCACAACACTTGTTCCATTTCTTAATCTGAATTGATCTTAAAATTTTGTCCCAAATTCTTTCCCTCCCTTTCACCAGGCCACATTATAACCTTACGAAAGACCTATTGATCTGGTTAATTTATCATAAGAATTGTGGAAAGGGAGAATATAAGAAAGCCTATGGTAGTGTTTGTAACGCCCGGCCACTTGCAAGAATCAATTACTGTCCCCACACACTAACACGAGACTTTTCAGTGTGCTTTGTCCTCACTCGCACACTTCCCGGGTAAACTTCCCAGGAGGTAACCCATCCCAGAATTGCTCCAAGTCAAGCACGCTTAACTGTGGAGTTCTTCCGATCCGGGCTACCGAAAAGTAGATGCATCTTTACAATTTTTACTTTCGTCACAGGGACAACCTCGTTTTTGTGGTATCCATCGTTACCCAATCCTTCACAAACTTGATAATCTCGGGGATCTGACCCCTTAATTCATTATATTTCCACTATTTCCTTAAACCACTGTTGCATTTCCGTTAATTGCAGTTCATAATATACTCATTTTACAACTTGTCACTTATGGTACTACGACCTTTTATTCACAATAATTTAAGTTTTCCATGGTTTACTGTTGCACTTTCACAAATTTGTAGTTAATTTATAATCACATTTCATCTTGTCTGTTTCACTTTATCTCATTCTCCTTTTTATCTATTCTTCTGACCCACGGTCGTTCTCAAAAGCATCTAACTGTTTTCATAATAGGCTCCCATCGTCCTCATGTATACTTACTAGTTATTTCTGGAGTATTTCCAACTCCCACTTTCTTTAGTACTTAACTCTTTTCGGTGTCCTCACTGTTTCAACCATCCCCAAACATACCAGTCCTTTCCATTACTGTTACTACTCTTATCATTTCGTTGTTTTCTTGGCTTCCACCCAAGCACATGTTAGTATTTGGGTGTCCTAGAGACAATCTTATGATTAAATAAGGACAGAGATGTAGACCTTTTTAATATTGTTGCAAATAAATAAAAGCACTCTTTATCTTGTCTCATAATTCTGTCTCGATATTAATGTTAATATATTATGAATAACTTGATAAACCCCGTGGAATAAAATAGGTATCTCTTGAGTATCTGTGATGAGATCACAATCATGAGGATTCAAGAATACCGGATGTTTATTCCTAATTTTATGTTCCTAGTCTAGAGATACTGAGAATGGGGTCAGTAATCTCGGGTAAGACTAGCACGACTTATCTACTTGTATTTGGATACAAGGTATAGACCTCATGTGCTACAGATATGGAGATGTCTTAGCTAAAGTCGTGGGTGGACCTATAAGGGTATAGCTCGCACTGAACGGACCCACAAAGAGACTCTATGAGGAAATCTCACAGATAGTATCATTAGAGTAGTCTCTTCATATTTGGGTATGTCTTTCCTTAGACCAAAAGTTATCACTTAGACTGTGTTCTAGAAGGCATGCTTTGACTGTATACCTCGTCTTCCTGAAACATGGAGACTCCTAGGTATGCTCTTGGGCTTGTCCTGATAGGGCACAGGGCTAGGGTGATAAGCTGAAGGAATTCGTCAAATTTCTGTGAGAGATTAGGTTATCCTTAAACCGGAGAAATCAGGATGACATTTACAGTGACTCGGGAATCTATTCATAGTAAAAGAGATCATAAGATGATCCGCCTTTAGAGTCAGTAAATTGAAGACTCCTTATTTCATATAAAGCTAACCCTAAACCGCAAGGGTTGATGCGTTTCCTTACCCTAGGTTTTATGGGAAGGTAACCGAGACGAAGGGACAAACATACGGCAACCAAATATGTTTAATAGGATGATCAAATCATTAATCTAACTAGTTCTGGGGCAACAAAGCATTGCTAGTGCTCTGTGTTGTCATTAGATGGGTTGTGGGTTTATTGGGCCCAAGCCCATTTATGTCAGTGCCTAAGTTGGACCTAATGGGTCACACACAAACACCTAATTGTCTAGATGCTCTAGCATTAAAGATATTGGGCCTAATAATAGTTATTAGCCCAAGAAGTTGTTTGGAACTCCACCTAAAGGGGTGGAGGGCGTATGGATCATTGTAATGGGCTTGGATAGTCCAAGACATTACTAATTAATTTAATTAGTTAAATTAATTATCAAACATTTAAATTTTGAATTTTGGAATTCGAAATTTTGAATTTTGAATTTGAATTTCGAAATTCGAATTTTGAAATTTGAAATTTGAAATTTGAAATTAGAATTTTGAAATTTGAATTTTGAAATTCGAAATTTGTACTTTGAATTTGAATTTTGAATTTGAATTTGAATATTTGAATGTTTGAATTCAAATATTTGAATTCGAATTTGAATTGCCTATGAAAGGTTGTTTCATAACAAAAGGATAAGATGAGATCTTGTTGGAACAAATCACTAGTATCATGAGAGAATCTTTTGGACATAATCCAAGGCTATATATGGCGCTGATTTGGGCTGTTAGTGAGCAAGATTTGCTCATCAAAATCAGCTCCAGAAGATTCAGTCAGTTGGGAGAAAATCTGAGTGAGTTGATTCAAATTTGAATGCAACTACTCAGATGTATCTGGTCACCTTTTGGGCTATATGGGGCGCACCATATAGCTGATCTTATGAAGATTTCTGATCAGAATTTTGAATAGGTTTTGAACCAATTCTCAAGAGAATATTCCAGGAGCCTGTTAGCAATTTTTGAAATTAAACAGCTCCACTTCTCTCTCCAATCTGGCGCCTAATGATCAGATTTTTGGGAGAAAAATTTGATTGATATTTTATTTTAAATACTCTCCTCTTATGCGCCTAAGTGTGTAGTTGTTCCTCCAAGGGTTTTTCTGAAAAGCCTAGCCTATTCTCTCCTTTATCCTGCGCCACTTGTGAAGCTTTCACATTGAGAGCTTAACTCTTTCAAACACTTTCACCTAGCCTCCATCTTCACACATAGAGCGCCTAGCAAGCCTCTTTGTGGTGATCATCCGGTGGCTTCACAAGAAGGAGTTCTTTCACATAGACAAGTGGGTGGTGTGGATCAACATTAGAGGGTCTGAACCCTTCAGACCTGCCTTGATCATCTGGTGATTTCACGAACAAGGTAACATCATGCTTTCCTAAAGCATGATCTTGATGTGCATGTATATTCCGCAAAGAAAAATTTTGTTTTTTCCTCTTGCATGCATCGGCCTTCAAGGCCATTTCGAACTTTCAGCACATACTTTCTAGTTTCAAAGGCACTTTGTCGTATCCTATAATTCCGACTCACATTAATTTCTATACTCATATACTTTATTTTTCCTTTTCACGTGTGTTCACCTCTTCTTAGGTACTCACAGCTATATCTTCCTCTTTGTGATACGAAACTAACAATACTCCTCATAGTTTATATTTTCGATTAGCCCTATAAGGCCCTTCAACCACAAACACACTCGGCCATACCTCATTAGTACTTAACCAAAACAACATCAACATTGTGCATTTTCCACACAGTTTACCATTTATAAGGACTAATAATTCACCGTTTTAACCTGAACTCTTGATCATCGCCAGCCTTCTTAGAAGGACACTTACTCCATCTGTCAGCATTAAATCATACTATTATCTCTTTTATCGTAAGGCGAGAATTCCAACAAACTTATTACCTCGCTTGGAGCCGAAATTATTTCATCGAACTTACTGTACACCCACAATAGTACTTCACTGTCACACTTGTAAATTCTTACA